TGTTTGAATGTTTGTGTGCAGCTCTTATCAGTATTAAAACAGCATAGGTTAATTCCCATTCAGCGTGGACACTGTGTTTGTGCGCGTGTGTGTGTGTGAGTCCACGTGTATGTGTGATGGGACTCTGGCGTCCTTCAGACAAGGACAGCAAAGGTGTTGCAGTCTGTCCAGAATAGAGAAGTGGGAAAGATGTAGCATGTTAACAGTGTTACAGAAAGCGTGACTTATCGCTTGATGTGTAAAATATGCTTTCATCTCAACAGATGATCACTCATAACACACAAAAAAAAACTTTCAGTCAATACCACCCTTCATATATTTTTGATAGTAAAAACATCTATATTTCTGCTCAAATTATAGGGTAGAAGTGCTATTATCAACTTTTACCCTGATTAGTTACGTTTTTTTGAAAGTGGTTTAATAAATCTTACTTTATTGCATTACTGTACCAAGATGACTTCACTAACAGGATATTTTAACAGAGCATATGTCAGAAGAAGACTTCATCAAACAGTGCAGGCTGTAGGCACTTTGGATTTTACTGTCCTAGAACGTTAGACTATATTAGTCCTGTTAGAGTTGATGGTTCAACTTTACGTTGGTTCCAAGGTACGCATTGAGACAACATTTGATTTCATTCAGTGTGGTTATTCTTGTTATTATCGTTGTCATTATTATTATTATTACCATTATCATTTTTATTATTATTATTAAGGTGAAAAGCTTGAAAGCTAAACAGTACTAGTACTACAGTACTTCTCAAACTTTCTGTTTTTGTTTTTCTCCATAAACTTTTTGCAGCAAGTTCAATAAGTCATTTCAGTTTGTGACAGAGATCAGATGAATCTCTATCCACTGGGCAAATCAAAAGGAACTGTGACTTTAGCTAAATTTTACCATTTAAATTTTGCCCACATTGTTTTATTCAAGAGGCAATCCAGGCAAAATGTGTTTCTGCTACCAGATGTCGAACATTGTTCAAATGAAAATGTCCCTCGCTTTTGATTTCTGTTTTATTAAAAAGCATTCAGAGGTCAAGTTTTTTTTTTATGTTCTCAAAGGGAAATGACCTTCCTCTATTTCTTTTTCTTTGTTTTTTTAATACTATGACGTTACAGTTTAATTTTGGAACTGGATGTTTCACTTGAATTTCAATGATATATGTCCAAAAAGTAGAATTTGGTTTGAAACCAACATTGTTCTACTGAAAATGTCCTTGTCTCTCTATATCTCTGTTATTAAAAAAGCATTCAGAGGTCTCTCTGTTTTAGACCACATTTGTCTTCAGAGAGAGAAAGTAGTGCATTCAATTTTAAATTAACAAAACCAGATGGAGATTATTTGAGCTTTGTGACACAGCCATCAAAAGATGGGTATACTGTAACCATAAAGGGATGGATATGGTCAGCAACAATACTCAGGTAGGCTGTGGAGTGTAATTATTCTCAATCGGTACTAAGGGGCTCAAAGAAAACACCCCGACACCATTATACCACCATTACCACCAACCTGAACTGACGATATAAGGCAGGATGTATCCACGTTTTCATGTTGTTTAACCCAAATTCTGACCTTAACATCTTAATGTTGCCCATCTAATCGAGACTCATTAGACCAGGCGACATTTTTCTAATCGTCCATTTTCCCATTTTAACGAGACAGTGTGAATTGTAGCCTTGGTTTCCTTTTCTCAGCTGACAGGAGTGGCACCTGGTGTGGTCTCCTGTTGCTGCAGCCCATCTGCTTCAAGATTTAATATTTTGTGCATTTAGAGCTGTTCTTCTGCAAACACTGGTTGTAACAAGTGGTTATTTGAGTCACTGTTGCCTTCCTATTAGCTCAAAGCAGTCTGGCCATTTTCGCCCAGAGAACTGTCGCTCACCGGGTATTTTCTCATTTTCAGACCAGTCTTTGTAAACCCTAGAGATAGTTGCGTGGGAAAAATCCCAGTAGCCCATCTGGCACCAATAACCAATCCACATTTAAAATGAACTGAAATCACATTTGCTTTCTATGATGTTTTGTTACAACTAAAGCAGGTTAGAATTGGTTAGAGCAGGTTGTCTTGACCATGTCAGCATCCCTAAATGCACTGAGGTGCGGCTGTTGGATTGGCTTATAAGATATTTGCCTTACCGAGCAATTGAGTCTCTACATATAGATTTAATATTAAAATGAATCTATATGTATAGATTCAATACATAATAAAAATGATAATAGCTTTTTGTTTACAGTGGAGCCCTGTGTCTCATCTTTTGTTTTCTGCTTTTGTGTGTATGGGTCTGTGATAGATGGAAGTATATTGGAGGTTATCTCTGCTATGAGGGCCCTGTCTTTAGATGCTCCTGGGCTGTACATGACAGTTGTGATGAATAAGTTGCATTTCACACTTCTGGACCGTATCACATGGTACACATGGTGCACAAACACACATACACACACAAACTTAGATGCGCACACTCTAGTAGAAACAGAAATACAAATGCTGCATCTGTTGCTTTCAAGCACTATTCAAACAAACAAATGCAGTCTTCTTAGCTAAACCATTACTAAACAAACAAGTGCTCAGCAGGAACAGCTTTTGCGTACGACATCGATGACCACTGGATGAAAATAATTTACATTTTCGATCCATTGCAAGTTAATCACTTCCCTGCTGGCTTACGCATCAGATAAAATTCATTAACTCTGCAAGTCTAAAAAGGTTTACCATTACAAAAATGTAGTGTCTAATATTGTTACACGTTGAGCAATCAGGATTTCAATTACGTCATTATTGAAGCCCTTGATAGTCATTAATATTATGCTGTGTTTTCTGTAGACATAGCTTGTATTGATGTCGATCATTGTGTTACGGTCATGTTGTCATTATTGTGGGTGTTCAACAAGGGTCCATTCTTGGTCCTCTTTTTATTCATGACAGCCGTAATGCCATGACCATGGACCTGTTTCCTAATCTGGCCAAAGTGCAACCTACTTTTTATACACACACACACACACACACACACACACACACACACACACACACACACACACACACACACACAAATAATGTGTGTGTGCAACTCCTAAGGAATTTGTCTCAGGAAGGGCATCTGGCACAAAAATCTACCCAATCAAACATGCAGAGCTACCTGCTGTGTTGAGCCCTTGTGAATAAGTGTGTAGGCAAATCATGTGGTCACTTAATATATAAATACAGAACCTAAGATACATGAAAGTCTGTCATTAGCCATAACTCTTATTCATATTCAACTGGTACGTGTATGTGTGCATGAAAGCTGAGTCTAGCCCTAAAAGAAAGCCTCTGAAGGTGTGGGAGAAGACAAGTCCTGACTCATCTATGACTTTCTCCCCAAATATCACCTCTTTTTTCATTACGACTTACCTTTGACAGGCTGTGCTAACAAAATGCCATGTCTTTCCTCCCCAGACCGGATGTAGAGTAACCTTCTAACCTAAAGAAAATACCAACTCACCCTTCTTTTCCCTTTACTTTAATTGATAGATGTACACTGTACAGTAATTGTATTTTAGTTGGATATTTTGAACTCTATACATTTTAAGTTGACTGGGCTTTTTATTTGGTGTCAGAGAATTCAGAGAATTTATTTAATTACATTTCTCACCTGAGCTGAAAAAGACATTCAGATTAACACTCATTCTAACATACAAAGGATGAAGAAAGCCACGCAGTTGGAATCATGCTGAAACAAATCTGCAAGATTCAGAGTGATTCAGATTCATAGAGCACAGCTTGATTATGAAAAACAGGCATGTTCAGGCAAACAAGATAATTGTGAAAACGCAGATATAAAAAATGAAGAGGAAGGTCAGAGAGTAAAAACAGTGGCTAAGAGGTTAAAGTTAACTGCTGCTAAATCCCTTTTCATTTTTTGCCCTTTTGCCGTGTCACCAAGTGTCAGTGGATGCACTTATCAAAGCTTCAAGTTGTTCTCAGCTGACAGTCGGTCACTCACACAGTGAATCAGATTGACAGGATAAAGTGGATCTGGAGATGCCAGCCAGTTCAAGACTGCTCACTCACTTTGACCTCTTTCCATTTTCGTTCTTTGCGAGTCTTCTTTTTCCTTTTCACATATACATCTTCTCTCGTTTGCCTGTATTGGAAAGTAAAGCGACAGGAGGCAAGCATGCGACCAAGTTTGCCAAGCAAAGTCATAGGAACATGCTGTGTGTCTCACATCAACACCACTCTTGCTTTCACAGCCTCGTCCAATTAAGAGCTTGTGTGTGCCGTGCAGTGTTTAGTCAGCCAATCGGCTGTTTAGTGGAGATGTATTGTGCTGTGTATTATTGGGATAGAAAAAGGGCATCAGCACTCCTATAGGATAACATCACATATAGTGACAGAAACCACATGCACACGGTGCATACACACACAGTATTCAATGAGCGTCTAATCAAACACATTTGCCTTTAAAAGAAACACTTTGAGGGCAGAATTAGGCAATTACTTCACTGTTTCAAAAGCAAAAAATTACCATAGAACAATTATACTCTATGATAAATGAAGCATGTTAATGATAATTGCTTCTCTGTGGTAGCTTAATTCCTCTCTGTGCTCATCGAATTAGATTATTACTGACATTTTTATACTAACATGCTAAGAACTGGGGCTGACACAGCCTTGACATTTTTGGAATCTTGTGGATTTGTATAAAGTCATTAGCTGGACTAAATCTGATTTAAAAAAATCAACTGTGTACTTCCTAAAACATATTCAAGTAAAGCATTATTGGGATATTTTTAATTTCAGCTTATTTACGGAGATCTGTATACACTGGCAATGTGGCTTTTAAGACAACACACTTCACTTGAACATCTGTTATTAAATCATAGTAATAATTTAGGCAGTTTGATGATGTAAGTGTTTAATGGTCTATATGACCTTGTAGGTAGATCAGTTACCTCCAATATATGTTTTTATAGCATCAAAAAGTATATCACTCAACCAATCCTTTAAATCTATTTTACAGAGACACGGGAGGACCGCACTAAGAGACTGTTCAGACACTACACTGTGGGATCTTACGACAACTTCACCTCATACAGGTACAACCTCTAACTCTGAGCTAGCATCCTACAGCATTGTCTAGTAGTGTATATTGTACTGCTCATTGCACTGTACTGCTGGTCATATCACACACGGTTTCCTTGTCTTAACAGGGTCAGTGAAGTTCATTTGTGCTGTAGAGGTGCTGCCATCTAAAGGCATGATCCTGCTAGTGCACACAGTTCTGATTCTAAAATGCACACAAATGATATTACATAACTCTCTTATACTGTCTGTATGTAAGGGTGTTCACTATGCATGCATAGCACATACTCTCCATTTATGTCTGTCTTCACATTCATCAATTTTGATTCACTTGAATTTCTTCATAATCTAATCTTTTATTCTTTTTTAAGTTTTGTTATCCTGTCCAAATCTCGAGATGACATTTATTATGTACAGAGTGTGAGTGATCCCTCTCTTCCAAATTAGATGTACTAGCTGAGCATTTTGTTGTCATGCAAATTCTCACTCTAATGCCACAGTTTATCGGTTAGAGACACAGAGCTGGTCTGCACGAGCATTGTTTCGACCTGCTTCCTTTGCCTTTCATAAAATGTCATCTCCTTGCAATCTAGGTTTTAGTCAAAGTAAGTGTTGCTTCTGTTTCCACAGCCACAGACTTTTTGAGTTACCATTACTAAAGCTGTGAACCTGTGATAGTCTGCATATACGTTTTTGTTTTAGAATGGGTGCTAACTATAACTAAACATAGTTCTGTTTCTGTTCAGAGGCTCTGAAGTACAAATTAAAGTTCCTTGAAGTCAGTAAAGTACCACTTGCACACGAAGGACACACACTTGAGTTATATTTGAGTTTCTTCATCCGAGCTATTGTCTGCAGAATATTAGAATTGCAAATGTCAAAGGACAGGTCTATTTTGAGGAAACATTTACCGTTGATATGTGAAAAGTGAGTATTTTTTCTTTATCGAGTTATGTAGGCGGGTAGATGTTCTGAACAAGGACAGCGAGCACATTGCATTAATGCAGTATTTCGTGTCATAGAGCAGAGATGGAAGCATACCAGATAAAAGGGTTTGGACTGAAGCAAAGTATCTTAGTGGTGCTTAACCAACTCATTTTCCTGTGCATAATAATTAGTGCATAAGTGGTTTCATATCTCTTTATGAAACCAAATCTTTGACCTCCTTCCTGCAGAAAGGTTTGTTATGGTTCTCCTGGCTCCAGCAGCAGGAGCTCTGGGTAAGTCTGAGAAAGTGGAGTGTAACTAAGCTAATGACTCTGCAGCCACCCACTGAGTTGCAACCTGAACCACAGCCCTTTCTAGATCTGCATCTTCTGTCAGGAAAGATGAATGATACTGCTGAAACTTTCAAAATTCTGTAAAGCTAATAGATTTTGTAAAGGCGTTCAGGGTGTAAAGTGTGAGCAGTCCCCCTCAGTCTGTGCTGTTAAAAGAATGGAACATTTATTAGATTTATTAGATTTGAGTTAAGGAATATTGCATTATTCAGGCCACCTTTCTTCAATTTTCCTTTCTATTAAAAATTTTATGTTACCGTTTATCATAAGGCATGATTAAAATATCTTTTAGTTAACTCCCTTCCTTCATTTCACATCTTTGGGCATCAGAAATTTTGATTTAATCCTCACACAACAATCCATACTGCAGATATTTGCTTTGCTGCTTTACTAACTCTACTTTCTGCTCACAGGCTTTAAAAACATATGCATGAGCACCTCAGCTTAACACCGCCTACCTGCCTTCACCACTGAACTCTCAGAAAAATCAGACAGTTATGAACTGCTCACTTACTGTTTCCACTGCCATTAGTCAAGCCACAGTATTACATCTGAGCCAGCTCTGTCAGTTTCTTTCACAAAGTCCCTCAACACACTCCACAGCTGCAGTCTCATCTGAAGGATCAGCTAGAAGATTGATTCACTCTTAGGTTTTATCCCATAGATACTTCAATCATGAGGACTTTCTCTCACCTGCTCATTCTCTAGCGCACTTTTTCATGTTCTGTCTTTCTACTTGTGAGTGTGTTTGTGTGTGTGTGTCTTGCTTTCTTTCTTAAAATGCTAGTGCGGCACCTGGGAAACCTGAGCTGTGGTGTCTTGCTTGGCTTTTAACTTGATTGAGAGAGGAAGTACATGTACACGTGTGTGCGCGTGCGGTTTTGTGTGCGCATATGTGTGTGTGTGTTTGTGTGTGCGCGCCTCCACCTCCACCTCCTCCCTCTTCTCAACTCCCACCGACCGACCCGCTTTACTCCCCTGCCCTTTCTCTCGCCCCTCTCTCTTTGTGTCCGTGTGAGGAGGATGTTGGATTCATACCTGCTATCCCCCTGCTCCTCTCTTCACAGTGACTATATCATAGAGGAGAAGAATGCTGTTTTACAGAAGAAAGAAAATGAGGGGTTTGGCTTTGTCCTGCGGGGAGCCAAAGGTGAGCGATGCACATACAGATACACGCCAGTGCCATTCACAAGGTTTTCAAGGTGTGCGAGTGTTTTGGTCTGAGAAGTAGCTTGTTGATCTGAGTCACTGACTACAGCTCAGTCAGTATTGTTACCGTGTGAGTCAACAACACAACCAGCTTTGGTCAACACTCAGTTTGTGTACTCAGTTGCACTCAGGTTTCTGGGTATGTGTTTGTGCGAATGCATGTGGCCCCTTTGGTGGTGTCATCCTTGGCTGAGCTGTCATCTAGCTGTCCCATCTGTTCCCTGCACATGGCGTTGAGTTTTAGTAGAGAAACACTCTACACTCTCTCTCTCCTCCTCTCTCCTCTTTGTCTCTTCTTGTTTTTGTTCCTCTTCGCTCTCCTCCACCTCCTTCACATCCTTCCTGTTCTTTATCCTCTCAAAATATTATCATACCTTCTGCACTTTAACCGAAATCGGCTCTCTACTCATCTCCATCACCGCAAATTCGTTTTACTCACGCACGTGCCAGCTCCCTCCCTGCTCGGCATGGTTACCATGGTAACCCCTTTCAGACACCTTGCCGGGAGTCTTAGTGTGCTTTACTGCTCCATCACTCACCACCGTGGGTCTTGGCTCGCCCGTCTCTCTCTTTCAGTCGGTCTTTTACTCCTCACTACCCTTAAACACACACACTGCAGTTCACTTAGTGGTCCTCTGAGAGCTCTCATATGTCAGTGATTTAGCTGGATTCACTCCAACATTAAATGGAGTACATGAAAGCCCGCTCACTTTACGAAATATTCTTAAGTATTGCATGTCTGCTTTTTAGTCATGCTATAATAATTATGTTTGTATGGAACTATAAGCTTCAGTAACACTGTTTAGATGCAGCAGAAATAAACTCAGTGCTAATGTGTTCATTAAATAAATTGGTTAAGAGAAATTTTAATTATTGTTGCGATTATTGCTTGAGAGGAAAATAAAGGAGCATTTGGAGCATGTGATACATGATCTGTTCTAACTTTCCAGTGAAGCAAAAGGAAGCTATAAATACTTCTTTATTTGACGACGTGGGTTTAAAACTTTTTAAAAACTATTTCTTCCCAGCTGAGACGCCCATTGAGGAGTTCACTCCCACCCCGGCGTTCCCTGCCCTTCAGTATCTGGAGTCTGTTGACGTGGAAGGAGTGGCCTGGAGGGCCGGTCTAAGGACAGGGGACTTCCTCATTGAGGTGATAAAAATTGCCTCATTATTCATCTTGATTTGTATACATTTCACTCCTGAAAGAAGTGTAAATGTCCATAGATCCAGATGAAAATGCAAAGTAAATGTATGGTTTAATCGTGTAAATTTCCCTCTGTAACTGAATATAGTGCTTTAACTATGCTTTTATCAGCATAAAAGCAAAAAATTTAAATAAAACAGGAACTAAGTTGTATGTTTCTTGCTTCCTGTTCTGTCTTTGTTGGTGCATTTTCTCTCAGGTAAATGGGGTGAATGTTGTGAAGGTGGGTCATAAGCAGGTGGTATCCTTGATCCGCCAAGGGGGCAACAGACTGCTGATGAAGGTGGTTTCAGTCACTCGCAAACCAGAGACTGAGGAAGTTGTTCGCAAGAAAGGTACATACTTATTTGTACTCAGCAAAATCATAACACAGTAGTAGGCATTTTATAAACATTACTAGTAAATTAATCAGTTGTGCTGGAATGTGTGAGAAAACATGACCTTACGCATTCTCAGGAACTGTTTTGGTCACTTGAAACAATTCTGTTAAGTCTTGGGTATGTATCAAGGACAAACGCTTTCATCTGTTCCTTTCAGTTGGAGAATAAAGTGGACAACTAAAAAATTTTGCTCTTATTGTTTTGGGATCAAGAGTTGAGAGCGTGGGGGAGTTGTAGCTTTCTACACTGAATATGCAAAATGTATTCACACGTTGGCTCAGATATATCTAGGCCATTAATGCAACAATGGACGGATTTTTAAGCTTATTCATAAATTTACAACATATTCTACATGGCTTGATTACATTAGATTGCCCTTCGAGATATTTTATATGGTACGTGAAGCTCCTGTTGCGATGTTTGTTATTTGTAAATTAATTTTATCAGGTAATGGAGACATATATGTTGATTTTTGTGTACAGAGGGAGATACGTGTGTATTGTCTGGGTAATTTCTACCACGTTTCCCTGCTGTAAATTCATGTAGTTTCCATGTCAACCACAGCTCAGATTACTCAGCTCCCACACAGTCCTGGCACAATGACCTCAGAATTGTGTACACTGCAGCGTGTCCGTCTGTGTGTGTGCTTTTATGCATGGTAGAGTGGTGTGTGCACGTCCTTTGTGATTTTTGAGATACAGACAGTGATAAATGAGTTTGACCTAGTTTCACTAGGACAGTACTGTATCAACTTAATTCTGCTACTCAGGGCTTAATGGTCTCTTAATCTCTCTTTCTTCCTCTTTCTGTCTTTCTTGCCTTAATATCATTTCTCATGCTTGTCGCTTTTAAATAAACCCAGTCTCTTAGTATCATTCATTCATGTAGAAGTCAAATTAGCATGTTTTGACCCCAGAAAGGTCCACTTATTAGCTTTTTTTTTAACCTTTCAACTTCCCATCATGGTGCCATTTTGCCAATTGACTACACCAATCGTAATTTAATTAAAGTAAAAGTTGAAGGTTTTGGAAATCTTTTGTACTTCCTGGTGTCAGTTGATTAAAAAAGACACTACCTCTCTTATTCTTGTCTCTAATGAGAGGCTACAGTCTTTGCACGTAATTCAACACAAAGATAAAGTCTGCCTCTAAAATCTCACTATTTAACATGCCGATGACAAAAACACAATCCATGCAAAAACTGAAATGTAAAAATAGCAGTTTTTCTTTTTTTGTAGGTTTTGTGAGCATCCTCTTTGACTCTGAAGAAAATACTGGGGCAGTGCCATTTACACCTACAATTTCAATTCAGTTTTATTTATATAGTGCCCATTCAAAACAACACTTTGTATTGTAGGATAAAAACACAACAGTATTAGAGAGAAAACCCCAACAGTTAGACTACCTGCTGTGAACAAGCACTGGGCAACAGTGGGAAGAAAAAACTCCCTTTTAACAAGAAGAAAACTCAGGCAGAACCAGGATGATTGTGTTGGAAGCTTAGGGGGAAGAGAACAGAGCAGAGGGAGAGAGGATAAAAAACACACTATAGGAGAGAGCCAGAGTTGAATAATTACTAATTCTGCTTTAAATGTCTGAATAAATTAGTGGTGCATAAACACATGGTGAGTGAAAAGAGCTGAGTGAACAAGAAAGTCAGACAGGTATGAAAAGGTTTTATACTTGGGCTACACTCGGGCTTTTGCTGATAGCACTAACTATGCTAAGCTAGGCTAATTTGCTGGTGCACAAATGTAAATATAATATTGATCATTTAATTTTACTCTTAGACTCAAGTGAAAAGGATTTTCCCGAGATGGTGTTAATTTTTTTTAATGTAACTTGTTATTATTTGCTTTGTTTTGGGGTTGTTTTTGTTTTTGGCATCCCCATCATGCGTTTGGCACTTTGTTAATATTTTATAAATATTTAATTAATGAAATTGTTAAGTGAGACCGCATGACTGCAAGGATTTGGGATTAATGTGGGTTGCAGAGGGGCTTGCACACCAATTTTTCCAAAGCTGCTTTACTGTAGCCAACGTTAAAGCTTTCTTACCTCTGCTTATGTCAAAGCTTCTAAGGCCAGATATTTAGTAGGTGAAAGAGAAAGTAGACAGTAAAGATAATCACTGGTAAGATTCCTTTATTGTCAACTGAAGAAAAAATGTGGAGACAGATTGAAATGATGAGACAGACAGTGCAAACAGCTATAGAGTAGATGGGGTGTATCTGGCGTTTCATGGGTGGGAATGAAATTCTTCATTCCTTTTTCAAACTTCTCTTAAATGCCTTTTTTTTGCACCCTAATCAATATTGAACACCCCCTCCTGCTGCTCATATCCTCCAGTGGGACTTGGTGTGCTGCACCTTTACACAAACGCACAGAAACATGCAGACACACACGGACCCGCGAGCGAACACACATTCTCTGCACCATGCGTGGCCTCACTACTGCCACCGTTGCCATGGTGACTACACTGCATGTTTGAATTAAGCATTACATTACAGCAAAAGCAACTCTCTCTCCCTCTGAGTCTGTCTCTGTTCCTCTCTCTTTCGCCTTCCTCCTCCATCTCCTCTGCTCCCTGCTCCTGTACCAGAATGTGCAGGCTTGTGAGGAAATGAAGATGTTTGATAAGGACAGTACCCAGGATGGCGTATGTACACTAGATCTGCGGCTGCTGGCGGCAGCGATGATAGTTATGCTCTAGTAAGGCATTGAGGCAACTGTGGGATTTGGAGATCTATCGCGCTACAGTGGTGCATTGAGTGGAGTGTTGGCTGGTCTATCTCAGATAGCGTGAGCTCATCTAGTTCTGTCGTGTGGTATTGTTGGGAAACTTGGTTATAGCATGTAGAGAATGCAGCTATATGTGGTTTCACTGTCAGACTGCATGGCATTGGTGTTGTTACTGCAGGTTTAACATGATTTTAAAATCAGTTGCTGCGTTGTTTTTTACATTACATTCATTTCAGTGCTTAGTCTAACCTATTTTTAGTCCCATAACTCTATAGTTTGTTTTTGAAGCTAAGATTTGGTAGATATGATTTACTGCTTTGACTGGGACGATTGCCCTGTGTGTATAGTAGGATTGGGAGGCTCCCACAAGCTGTGGGATATAAAGTCTGCAGTGCATCGTTTTCCTTAGCTGTTGAATTTACTATCATCTCTTCATCTGTCAGCCCACATGTCATTATGTGCACCCTCAAGGAATTTTCTCTGGGGGAGGATATGCATGTTTGTATAAGCTGGTTCATTAATGTGTGCCTCTGTCTGATACACATCTGCTAAATTCTAGGCAGGCAGCATATTAAAAGTAAGATGGACGACTTTCTCCCTCTCCTTTCCACACATTTCTTACTTTTTCTGCCTATTGTGGTGGACAAACTCTATTGTTCTTTGTTTACTGGGAGGACTGACCTGTACATTTCCACCCAATGGGCTCCTCAACAGAGAGGAATTCTTGCAGCACAGAGACTAAAAAACTAAAAGTCTTGAAGACAGACTGATACATTTATAAGTCATCTGACAAACAGATAGCAAAATATGAAGAAGCTGGGCTCCAACCGTAGCGTGAACAAGGTCCTGACTAAGTGTGAAGCATCCAGTTCAACCGAATTTGACCAAATCAAATCAGTGAGGACAGGATGGGCTGGCCGTCTCGGGGATGCCAGGAGGGCACTGAGCCGCAAAGCCAAAGGATTTTCATCCCCCTCAAGTTCATCCTCAACTCCATGCCTTTTCTCCACAGCGCCGCCACCACCCAAGAGAGCTCCCAGCACCACCCTGACACTGCGCTCTAAGTCCATGACCGCTGAGCTGGAGGAACTAGGTGAGTGCCAAATAAGTGGTATGCAAACTCGACACTCTTTTTTTTCCCTCCTTTTCTGCCATATTTCTGCTTTGGCTTTGTCATTAAAACTTGGTGTGTCTCCTAACTTTTAGAATAGTCACTTCTGTTGGCTTGTTCTTGTCATTTTCCCTCCTCTGCTGACGCTATCTTTTTCCCACCAAGCTTCTGCTCGGAGGAGAAGAGGAGGTGAGTCTGAGACAAGAAATTGACACCTCTTTGGACGTCACAAAGATGATTTATCAATGATGTGTCAATTTAAGAACCGCTTATTAGAGCAGATGAGCAGAGCAGAAGAACACATGAGCCATGTGGACAGTCTACACTTTTCTGTCACTTATCGCTTCTTTCTTTCGTTCTTTTTTTTCTTTTTCCTGTATTTTATTGAGACACGGTAGTGATTTTGTACAGTACCACAGAGCATGACCCCACACATATAGCTACATCTTAGAGGTGCCTTTGTATTCTTTATGGCGATATCAACATTTGGAATAGATGCCACAGCGTTTTTATGTCTCAGTATTTAGTTCTGGCCAATTTTCTTCTTAACAGAAAGACTAGATGAGATGTTGGCATCACAGGAGTCTATGTTGCGTTCTCAGCCCTCTGAGGCAGATTACAGAGCAGCCACTGTCAAACAACGGCCCACCAGCAGGAGAATAACCCCAGCAGAGATCAGTGTGAGTGCACCTACACACAGCACATTGGCAGACAGCATATGCTGCTCTGCTGGCATACATACAAACTCAGCGCACATACAAAAATACCTGGCCAACACGACATGCACTGCTGCGCACATTTATGCATATTCTTTGAATTAACCTATAGGAGTCATGGTGTGCTTTCAAGATTTTAAGATACTTTTCTTGTTTTTTTTTTCATGCAGTCACTGTTTGAGAGACAAGGGATGACTCTACATGGAGGTCTCCATCCAGGGATTGAGAGAGGTCACATACAACTACCAAAGGGCATGTCCAGGACCAAATCTTTTGGTAAAGCAATCACCCATCCTGTACATATTCAAATAAGGTGAATGATAGTGTAATTGTACCTAAAGTAGAGACTAGAATTTGAGGAAGCTTCATTGTGTTTTCATAATTTGTTTCAGGAGAACGACTAGGCAATACTGAGACTGAAGCTCGTTGTTAAGTCGTAATGTGCCATGTCAAAACTTGACTGATTAACAAATGTTGTCAGTTGACAGTGTGGGATATATAATTACTTGGCATTGACTGTTGAAAATTTGTAAATATGAATACTGGATACTGGAACAGATTTAGAAAGCAGTTGTTCAAGTAGCACAGAGCTTGTTTCAAAGTAGCTTAACATATATATTATTAATACGCAACTTTATTATTAAACATTATGCTTTTTGTAAGTATACTCATTAAATGAATCCTATGTGAGTCAAAAATAGAACTGTATGTTTTATTAAACTACTTTAATAATCGTGTTTTTTGACACCTGATACATATTATCTATGTAAGTAAACAAATTTACAGATGGATGCAGTACATTTTTTTATGTGGACCAGCTTGGCACTTTTTCAAGAGCTTGTTTATCACCAGATGATCTGTGCTCTTTGCTCTCTTTACCGTCATCAGGTGCCACTGAGGAGGATCGGCTGTCTGCTCTTGTAGGCGAGCACCGATTTCCCCGCAGTTCCTCTATGACAGACAGCCTCCGAGACCACTCACAACCCCACCCTATCCCTCCCCCTCCACAAACGGCACCTCCTCCTCCTCCTTACTATCTAGACACTGGTCCTCCCCCAGCTTTCTGCCCCCCTCCACCTCCATCGAGAACACAGAGTCAGGGCCATGAGCCTGCAGGACGTTCGAGCTTCAAGCCGTCCTCCTTGGACCTGCCTTACGAGGCCGCTCAGCGGCAGGCCACACACATTGAGAGACAGAAGAAAGCACGCTCCATGATCATTCTGCAGGATTCTTCTCATTTACCTGTTGAACCTACAGAAATTCCACGTCCTTCTGCTGCTACTCCACCTGAGCGAATCAAAAGGAAAGGTCGGGTTATTGACAACCCTTACGCAAACGTGGGTCAGTTTAGCATTGGACTGTACACACCTACCAAGCCCCAAAGAAAGAAGAGTCCTCTGGTGAAACAGCTACAGGTAGGTGGAATGTTATTGATGCTATCTGATTTTGTTGCTTTCATTTGAATGTAAAAAAAAAAGAAGGAACCTGATTTTTTTGGTCTCTACACTGCAGGTGGAAGATGCACAAGAAAAAGCTAGTTTGGCCTTAGCTGCTGCCCACTCGCGAGAGAGCTCACCCTCAGGACGACACCCACTTACCTACGGGCACACACACACCAGCCGTGCAGACTACTACCAGCAGCAGCTGATGGCTGAGCGAGAGCGTATGCGTGTTCAAGGAGAGATGATGTTTCAGGGCAAGGGCCCCTTTGCCGCTGCAATTGCTGGAGCTGTAAAGGATCGTGAGCGTCGCCTAGAAGAACGGAGGAAATCCACTGTCTTCCTTTCTGTTGGGACCATGGAGGGGGCATCTACCACCAGCTCTGATTCCCCCTCTCTGACTCAGTCTCACTCCATCGATGAACGGATGCTGACACGAGAGCTGGGACAGCTGCCTCCCCCTGCCTTGGCTCTGAGCCCCTCACCTAGTGGGACCACCTTTATCCATCCACTTACAGGAAAGCCTCTGGACCCCAATTCACCACTGGCTCTTGCGCTGGCCGCAAGGGAGAGGGCACTGACCTCCCAGAGCCAGTCCCCTACTAGCAGCCCAGAGCCTCGGACTAAACAAGAGCAATTAGGCCAGGGTGTAATATTCATTGACACTCAGACCAAAGAGTCTCCACATGGGGAAGGGGCAGCTACATCTCCCCCTTTTTCACCTAAAAGCGCCAAGGTAGCGGGTTTCGGGGTTGGATCCTCCGCAGCATCAATTTTATCCCCGCAGCCCACCAAGCCACAGTGGGCTGCATCTTCGTCACCTGTATCATTCCGGCAGGAGATGGAGGCCAGGATAGAGGAAAGGAAGGAAGAGAAGAGGTTAGAGGATAAAAAGAGTATGTTGATCAGTATTATGGATACATCACAGCAGAAGACAGCAGGGCTAATCATGGTCCATGCCACCAGTAATGGGCAGGCTGTTGGAGTGGATTCAGAACAAGAGCAGACACCTGCCCCAGACTCCAGGGAGCCCAGCAAATCACCAAGTCCACGCGCTAAATCCCCCAGTCCCAGTGTCGCCCAGCCCCAGACCCAGCTCCAAGCTCAGAGTTCTGCCAGTCCAGTCCAAGAGAAGGGTCTGGCTCAGGGAAGCTCAGAGGAGGATGTGGATCCGTACACAGTAACCCTTCCCCCTGCCATGTTATCCTCCAGCGATGAGGAAACACGAGAGGAGCTACGTAAGATTGGAGTTGTTCCGCCACCAGATGAGTTTGCTAATGGGCTACTGGCACAGGCACAAGGGGCGCCAGTGTCTCCAGCTAAGCCTGCTGTGTCTCCCGCCACCCCTGCAACACCAACGCCACAAACGCCCTCAACCCTAGCAACGCCAGCTGTGACCCCCACTCAGCCTGCTCAACCCCTGCCTCCACCCAGTGCAGCAGCTGTCTCAGGGAAGCCCTCTGACCCTCTGGAGCCCCCACCGGTGGGTGAGTCTGGCTCTGCGGCTGACTCAGGCGTGGAGGAAGCTGACACGCGCAGCTCCAGCGAGAGAGAGCGAGACCACCATCTCGAGACCACCAGCACCGTCTCCACGGTTTCCAGCATGTCCACATTGTCCTCAGAAAGCGGCGAGCCTGCCGACACACACACCACGCACACCTCCTATGCCGACGGGCAGACATTTGTGCTCGACAAGCCGCCAGTGCCTCCTAAGCCCCGACTAAAATCCCAGATAGGAGGCAGTAAAGGCCCCGTCACTTTCAGGGACCCTCTGCTGAAGCAGAGCTCTGACAGCGAGCTGCTATCACAGCAGCAGGCTGCTGCCCTGGCTGCTGCTGCAGCTGGAGGAGCTGGACTCCCCCCAGGTGGTTCAGCCTCAGTTACTGGTCTAGCCCCCACCAAGCCACGCTACCTCTTCCAGAGGAGGTCCAAGCTATGGGGAGACCCAGTGGAGCCCCGTGGCCCAGGAGTGGGGCTAGGTATTGGGAGTTTGGGAAATCTTGGTGGGCTGGGACTGGGGCTGGGTGCAGATGAGGGAGCAAAACCATCTGTTATGGGAGAGCTCAGTTCACGACTACAGCAGCTAAATAAAGACACCAGATCACTAGGAGAGGAACCTCTGGGAGCATCACTTGATCCAGGAAGGAAGTCACCTGTGGCAGGTGCCAGGTAAGACATGATCTTATAAAGTAAGAGAACAAAGGGTTTTAATTAAAAAAAACAAATCCTTTTAAGTTTCATTCTTATCCTTTCTTTATGTAGTGGTAGAGTAAAAAAAAAATCAAGCATTGTGTGTTTTTGATTTATTTAAATTACTTCTTGACACTGAGTTAATTATTTTCTCTAGTTTATCAGCATTTTTATTATATCACTTTATTTGCACCAGTGTCTGTTGTTATCTTCCATTGTGCATTCTTTTTATAAGCTAGTACATTTCTGTTTAAGTTGTGATGGTAAATAGTAATGATATCAGAGGTCACTACCATTGTTGGTGCTAGTTTCCCTGACAATATTAGTGGAACAGCATAGTTAATATATCCTATAACATTAGCAGGTCATGTTTTGGTCTTTAACATCCGTAAGAAGAAGACTTCTCACATAGCAGCAGCTGTCTCAGGGTTAACTGAAGCACACTGGTGTTTTTGTCTGATATCTGTGGGTTTCTTTTTTCACACCTTACCTGAAAGTACAATGAAATCCTTTATATTTCTGCAGATGTGAGGACACCGAAGAGAGTAAACCTTAAGGTTATAGACTCTAGGGTAAACCAAAGCTTTTTTTTAAATATATTTTACATAACGAGTCTATCAGCCCATTGAAGGAGAACAGTACTTATATACATCTTTTTTTTCATTAATATTCTTTGTACTGTTATTTGTTACCTTGTTTGCATCAGCTGATTCCCTCACTGACACTTGTACAGTCCCTCAAGAATCATTAAAAAAGACAATTGAAGTATTACTACACCACAATGTTTTTCAAGAAATGATTGTTTTTAGAGATACAGTACAGTAGTACTACAGTTGATGGCTCCTTGTTTCCATAGTTACAGCTGTACTCCTTTGCTTCCTGTTAAGTGTTCTGTGTTGGTAAGAGTAGACGGTAGCAGTTGATAAGCTAGTGGTGTGTGTGTGTGTGTATATGTGTGTGAGTGTGTGTAGTAGATTATCCGTTGGTGCAAACAAGGTAACGGGGCTTGGAGGCACGTACTTCCTGAAAGCTTCTCCTCATCTCTTGCACAGTCTCACTTCTGGGTTCTAACCTATGACCCTGCTAGTAGCTCCCCTTCCAGTGTTTCCCAAAGCCTTTGTTCAAATAGTGCATAATACATCCTCATATACACTGCTCTTTGCGGTCATCGCTGATAATAATTGATAAGACAAGAGACTTTATCATCAGTGATAACCTCAAAGGTTCAAGGATGTATTTTAACAAGTATTTGAACCTGTCTGAACTATAATGGTGTGTGCCATGTTGAAATCCATCCACTCACAATCTCAGCATTAACAAGGCTGTTAATGCCGAGATTACCAGACAAAGTCTGACCCCGTCAAAAGTCTTCAAGAGTCATGTTGTCATAAGTGGTGGGATCTTCTCTTTTGATTTCCTCCAGTATAAAGCAACCGGCTTCAGACTGGTTGTATTTTTGTGGCTTGACAGGCTGGTAGTTAACATCTGAGGTTAGAAGGACAGATGGTATCTTTTATTGGCTGCCCACTGAAGTGCTACTCATTTAATACAATTGACAGGACGGGATGTTAAATGCATTGTCATGGAGTCGTGGATCTGTCTCAGCCTTACAAAGAGCTCTGTGGTTTGTGATCACTTTTTTAGATGCAGTTGAGTTGGATTTTCTTTCACAGCCTTCTTTCAGCTTCTCTGATTTTTTTTTCTTGTATCATATTCTCTCTATGTGAATATTGGGAATGGAAGAAGTTGCTTCCACCATACTTCACTGCTGCTAAGAGGAGCTGAAAGATATGAACAGACGATATTACATTGACAAGATGTCAAAACATACTTTTCATAGTCTTCTCATCATGGTGACATCAGCGAAAGGACATGATCAACTTCACACACCAAAGCTTGTGCATCACATTTTCATGTTTCCATCCACGAGTCAGTGGAATCAGTTACAGCGCTGACTGGGAAAGAACAATGAGAAAGTCTTTGTAGAACTAATCACCATAGAGCTACAAGTTAATGTCCATTCACAGAATTTAATCCTTACTGTTGCTCTAGACAAGTATAGTTTGATGTTCCAACCCCTTAATGCCTAGTATATCATATTTGATACATACAGTTTTTGAGACTTCTACACAATCTGTGTTTTTTTTCCCTCAGAAAAACAAAATAAATTGTGCAATACATTTAAAAGAAATAGTTTTCAAAAAAAGGCCAGAGGTACGGTGGCCCTAAGGGGCCAAACGGACTGCAACTTAAGAAAACACCAGCAAAAAGAAAAATGCTGCAAAAGCACACAAAAGACAACGGAAATAGGAAAAAAGAAAACAGAAATAGGAAAAAACAGATCCAAAAGCACAAGGGAAGTGTTTCTGGGGAGACAATAGCCCGACAGACCAGTTGCAGGAACCAAAACATGCTAGGTAAGTGTGTTTTAATCTCATGATTCATATAATCGTGATGACGGATTTTTGGGCTAATAGTTAGGCTAACACACTTACCTCTCATCTTTTCTTTCCTCACAAAACCGATAGATCCTCTACTTCTTTTAAGTGTCTCCCAGCACAATTCTCAGCATATTTTGGTTCCTGCAACTGGTCCGCCGGGTTATTGTCTCCCCAGAAACACTTCCCTTGTGCTTTTGGAAATCTGCTTTTTCCTATTTCCATTTTCGTTTTTCCTATTTCCGTTGTGTGTGCTTTTGCGTTTTTCTTAATGCTGGTGTTTTCTTAAGTTGCATTCCGTTTGGTCTCTCAGGGCCTCCGTACACATGTAGCAAATATGATACAAAACTACACAACTAAAATATGCAAATTAATATTGATTTTGTTAAAAATAATTTTAAAAAATGTGACTTTCAGGGTTAAAGCAATGTGTCTTTACAGAGGAATTCATTACTGCTATTAGAAACAGAAATGTGCTGTCCTAATACTTTGGTGTCCTAAATCCCTGTTTGTACAAGACACTGGACTTTTGGATGACCATAAATTAAATATGAAGCTCGAATTATATCAAATACAACATATCAAGTAAGACCGGTTCAGACTGGATTCACACCTTCCTAATGTTATCCAAATGAAGAGATCACCACTATCTACATGCTGACAGTTGATTGCCCTTGGCTGTAAAAAAGATGACTGCGCACACCATTATTTCTCTCTCTCTCCCTCTCTGCCTCTGTGTCTCTTCACCTGCTGTAGCATTTCACGTAGAGCATCAGCATCTCCGCACTCTTAATTGTCACATTCGTCGATCACTTACCCCATCCCCTCTGTGCCCCATTTAAACCCCTTCAAAAACTACACTGCTGAATTTTGTCTCCACCTTGTTCATGTGCTGTGTATCAGAGCTTTGGGTCACGTACAAAAGTGTGTTTCTCATTTCTGTTGTGCTTTTTGGTTTTCTTTCCTTTGTTTTTTTATTTTATTTCTTTTTTAATGAAAGTTGCATAACTTTGTTTTGATTTTCAGTGTTTGTGTTGAGGATGGCCATGATCCTTGACTGTCTTGTATTTTAAACCATGATAAAACAGAATATGCTCCACCAAAACACACGTGCATTCACCGCTTATATACTGTGCTCTACATACAAATCCATGTTAAAAAAAAGATTATTTTCTTATATAAATGTATGTGAAACGAAGTACAAAAGCAGCTTTAAAAGTCAAGAGACATGTGCTGTCCTGTTGTGTTTCTTTATTTGTTCGTTTTTCTTTGTGCAGTGTTTGATATGTGAACAGTGTGCTCATTTCTCTCTCATGTAGCCCACTGGTCAGACCTTCAGGTGCTGAAACCCACTCTGCTGTCTTTGTCATGCTGACATGTAGAGCAACCCAAGCACAAAAATGCATTCATGCCCATCTACTGATGAACAGTCATACACTCACACAGTCACATACACCTATACATGTAGATGACGCACAGCAAAGACAGCGGAGCGGGCTGAGGCAGATTATAAGTCTGGTTGGCAGGCTGCGTCTCATTGAGTGATGCTAACATTCTCTCCCATTGCTCTCTCTCTGCTCACCTTGCATGCTCCGCCCTGCTGCTCTGATCTGATTGGTCTAGAACTGACTGTGCGCCCAGGAGGGCAGGACGACTGTGTAAGTGCGCATGGAGCTCATCTCATATCTGTCGGCTCCCCGTAGTCTGAACATTTTTCCAGCCCGAGTGCTGCTTAGCTACCGGTCTTTCATTACACTCTTTTACTCCAAATCTCACCCAATAAAAAAGTTTCAAAAACATGCAGGAGATGGAAAACGTGTGCTACACCTTCAGACATGTTAACGTGCATGAAAAAGACACCACTGTAGTAACTCAGTAGTTTAGTTTCTCCTATCAGTTTTTCCTTGCTTGCACAATGATAGCTAAAATTTCCTTAATTGTATCCATCCCTCTTTCTTACTGTTCTTGTTCTTATACTAACGTTCAGTCTCTAAGACTGTCACAAATTTATGCTTCTAATAACTTTCAAAAAAAGAGTGATATATATATATGTTAAAAAAGGTGACTAGACTATTTAAACTATTATCCCATATCAGGTCACTATAAAAAAATAATAGTTATACCTCAGTGTTTACGTGAGTACGATCCTTCTTTCTCAGAGTTCCTAAATGCTAAACGTATTGCACTGAATTAAGTGTTAGCCAAGCTTCCAAGATCATTTACTCCTTTGATTAACAAGTAAATAATGCTAATTAGTGTTTAACAACAATTCCCACCTGTTTCTTCAAACAATGTAATTCGTGGTCATGAAATTGAATATTTACTGTATCCATTTTTTTGAGTGAGTCAAAATGTAACTAATGTGCAAGAGAGCTGAAAATCAAATTTAATATTCTACTTTTAGATCTGCCTTCTGCATCTAAATTTGGATGTGTGTGTGTGTGTGTGTGCGTTTGTTTCTACAGAATTTGTCACACATTAGAAAATGAATTCTGCTTTCAGGTTAGTGATATCAGCAGTTTCAGTGTAACACAATACATCTGTTTAAACACTGTATTTGTAATCTAATGTTGGTCACACTAACCTATTCAAGGATGCTTATAGTAGGACTCAACAGCTTTAATTGAATTAATCATAGCAAAAACACGCTCATTAATGTCACAGGGACTAGGGGTTTTTTATGGGTGTGAGTAAAAATTAGGGCTAGGGCTCTTATTTTGGAGAACTACCCTGTAGTCACTTGCATAGCTAGATGTTCTTAGTCTGACTAGTTTGATCTTTCTAACAGCCATTAACCTCTCTTCTGCACTAACCTACTTTAAAATGAATGACTGCTGTTTATATACATGCTGTGAAAGAGTATTTGCCCTCTTTCTGATTTCTTTTTTTTTTTGACATATTTCTCGTACTTACATTTGTCAGATCATCAAACAAATTTTAATATTAGATAAACATAACTCAAATAAATACAAAAATGCAGTTTTAATATAATGATGTTATCGATTAAGGGAAAAAAGCTATCCAAAACTACCTGGCCCAATGAGGAAATACAATTGCCCACCTTGTTAAATCACAAATTCATTGTGACTAAATGTTTAGTTTCACTGGACATCCAAGCATGATTACTGCCACACCCTTGAATCAAGAAATCACTTAAATAGAACCTGTCTGGCAATATGAAGTAGGCTTTGAATGGCTAAAAACAAATAAAAAATGAATTTTGTAGTGGCCTAGTCAAAGCTTCAATCCTACCAAGGTGCCTTAGCATGACCTTAAACAGGCTGTTCATGTTCAAAAACCCTCCAGTGTGGCTGAATTAAAATAGTTCTGCAAAGATGAGAGGATCAGGATTCCTCCACAGTGTAAAGACTCATTGCTCATGCTTGATTGCAATTGAGTGGCATAACTAGTTATTAGGTTTAGGTGGCAACATTTCACGTTTGGATAAATTTTTTCCCTTAATAAATGTAATCATAATTTTAAAATGGCATTTTTTATTAACTCTGGTTTTCTTTGTCTAACATTAAAATGATCTGAAAAATGCAAGTGTGAGAAATATGCAAGAAAAACAATGACTAAGAAATCAGGAATGGGGCAAATATTTTTTTACTGCACTCTATAACCCAAAGTGTCATTTTTTCTTCTTTATTTTATTTTCGTTAACAGTCTTCCTTATTCTTAAAGCCTTGTGCCTCTGTCTGTTTCCACCAGACTTTTCAGCAGCCTAGGTGAGCTCCACACCATCTCTCAAAGAAGTTATGGAACCACATACACCATCCGCCCTGGCAGTCGCTACCCCATCACCCGACGCACCCCTAGTCCAGGCTCACCTGATCGGGGCGACCCTCTTGGACGATTCTCAGGCTACGGCCTACCAACCTCACCAACCACACCGCCACAAACTATCCTCAAATCCTCGAGCCTCAGCCTACCCCAGGAGCCAAAGGAGGTCCGCTTTGTAATGAGGAGCTCCAGCGCCCGTTCCCGCTCTCGCTCTCCGTCCCCGTCACCTTCCCATTCACCTGGGTTAGGTTCACCACTTTTAGCTCTACGACCCTTTCACCAAAAACCCCTCCACCTCTGGAACAAGTATGATGTTGGAGACTGGTTGGAGAGCATCAACCTGGGGGAGCACAGAGCAGGGTTTCAGGAACATGAGATCGAAGGTTCTCACCTCCCTGCTCTAACCAAGGATGACTTTGCAGAGCTGGGAGTGACACGAGTCGGACACCGCATGAACATTGAGCGAGCACTGAAACAGCTGCTGGAGAGCTGACCCCTGCCCTGAGACACAGCCACAGATGGAGATCGGTGAAGACAGACAGAAGATTCGGGGGTTAAGGAAAATAAGCGATGCGATAGGGGCCGCTCCTCTTTTACTCCGGCTGCTTTTATGTTCGGCATCACAAATGTTGACCTGCAGCTCTTAGGCACACTCTGTTTCCATTCTGCATTAACACCCTGCACTTGGCAATGCACTGAAGAGGAGGAGTCGATACATTCATTTTTCTTCTTGCCCACCACCCTGCTTTTGTGGCCAATTAAATCAGGCCCAAAATGATATTTGGCGTTTTTATTTAATTATTTTTTGCTAAGACGAGCCAGACGAGCTCCAATTAGAACATTTGATTTGTGAAAGGTTCACTTGTTTCCTTAGTAACATCCCCACTTTCTCGCTCCCTCCTCTCCTTTCTACCTCCCCTCCCAAATAACCCCCCAGGTCCCTCTATTAGGCTGCTGAAAGCCTTCTTGCAGTTCGAGTAAAGGAGGAGGAGGAGGAGGCAGAATTTTTTGTTCCACACAGAAAGCTCAGTTGCCTTTCAAAATATTTATACAGAGATCAACAGCAATGAACACAGTGCTACGGACACACAGCCCTGAAAAAGGTGTGTCTTCTGTATACGTGCTGTTTTTAAACCGAAGACTTTAGAGCCCAGAGTCGGAGCTCCACAAAGTAAACCGTGGGAGAAAACCCCCTCTGCCTTGGTACCCAGACTGTGCTATCTATTATATTTGGAGAATGTTTAACCAACACTCGTGGCTTTTTTTCATAATCAGTTTCTTTTTTTGGTTTTCCAAAGGGAATAATATATATAGGTATTATATAATATATACATATATATATATATATATATGTATTTAAATATAGCTTTCAGGAGAAAAGACAATGTTGCAAAGAGGAAATATAATAAATTAATCTGCACCTGTTTTTTTGGTTTTTAGTATAGAAGGCAGAGAGAAATCTTTAAATCTATTCCACTAATAGTTTACTCATTTCTACCAATTATATACATACTTATATATATACGTACATATATATAAGTATTCTATATATATATATATATATTTGAAAGGAAAAAGTATATAAATATGGAAATGAAGTTTTTGTCATAGGTATCCAACTTTCCTTATGGTCACTCCTTTTTTGAACCGTAGCATGACGAGTTGCTTCATGTTTTTGACAAAGAGTTTGTTGTTTGTTTTTATTTTCTTACGGTCTTCCTTCATACTAAAGGGCATCCCGTAATGTGAGGCTGAGACCCCAGTTGACACCCATCCCTACTGCTTCAGCAACAGATCCCGCTGCCTGTGTATCCACAATAACACATCAAGGGCACCGGCCACCTATGTGCAAGCTGACTGGCTTTAAAGGGGCTCTTCATCTTATGCCTGTTTATCACTCAGGGATGGAAGTTTGGGGCACCAGCATGAAGAGGTTGCTTGCTGTTTTACTACTAGAAATTGAATTTTTCTTACACTTCAACAGTTAAACACCACCATAGTCTGTTAGAGAGCTAGTAAAGATTCCATCCCTGTCCCCGATAGTGTTACTTAGACCAGTTTGCACAAGGTCTGGTATCAATTTCCAAGCATGGAAACCTGGAGAAACAAGCTTTAACTGTTCAAATAATTTTTTTTAAAAAGCTAATAATTGTGTTCCTTTACCTGTATAACCAATAAAAACTTGCCATACAAGCTTAAATGAGCTTGATGTGTATGCCCTTCTGAAATGCCACTGCAGGGAATGTCTGTAGTTTCTCAGGCTGTGGGGATGGGAAAGCCTCTGCAAGGTCTTAAAGAAAATTCAGTATTTTACAACCTGACATTATTGCTGCTTTCCTCGATCTTTACCATTTTCTAAGTGAGTAAAATATCATAAACAGAGGGACAGCTACAACTCAAAACAATAAGGCGCAGGTTGTTTAAAAAAAAAACACTGAATTTTCCTTTAACAATACAAATCTACAATTGTACTCATGAGTAGCTTCTGCTGGCAGTGAGAAACAGTGAGTTTTATTCACACAACGAAATGCATTTTATAGCTTTTCTCTGACGGGAAGCCAGTAAATGTCTATTACCAGTAAAAAAAGTAAAACCTCTGTGCATCAGCAGAATCCAATCAGTATGCCAAGGCACTTACACCTGGCGAAAAAGTGCACGCATGTTTAGTTTCTTTTTCTCACAGTTTGTAAAAGCAGGTGGGGAATTTAACGGTGTATGTGGGTTGTAGGAATAGCACTCACTGCCTCGCTGTGACCTCACTGATTATTCTTTTGTTTTTGACGTAGATGTCACGTCCTCAGACTCATTTGAACACTTCTTTTTTTAAATTGTTCTTATCAGTTCTTCTTTTGTCGTTTGATTTGTTACCCTCGGACACTGTGGGTAGATTTTGTAGCGTGTGGATCATGACTCATCTGAATTTTAGAGTGACTGAAAAAGAGCAGAAAAAAAATCTCCTGTCCATTCTAAACATACTTACACTTGTAAAAAATAAACAAACTACAAATATTTGCTTTTTTTAATCACAAGCAATGTATATATAATAGATTTCATATAAATTTTTGAAAAACAAAAAGTATATAGATCTATATATGAATGTTTGGCATATATGCATAGTTAACCACCTGTGAAAAAAAGGTGAGCAGATTTTATTCTTTCTATGAACTCTTGAACTTTTGAACTCTGAACTATGAACTAGGGGATGATTTGCACAAAACAAGGTGACAAGGTGCTAACATAAAAGCCACCCATCGTCCAAGAGCATGCGTGCATCTGGATTCCCTGAATCTCTCTGTGTGGTCGTTCTTCTTCACTGTGTGTATGGCAGTGTGTATGTGTGCAATCGCTTATTTGTTTCCATTTTTGTGCGTTTGTTTGGGATTGAAACAATGAGAATGCGTGTGACAGTGCAAGAGCGTCAGTGTGTGTGTGTGGTTAATTGTTAGGGTTTACATCACTGGAGTTGGTCCACTATAGCCTTACTGTATTACCATCAGATGTTGCCAGCAGTGGCTGTGTCACACAAACACACGTGCTCACAAAATGCACACACACACAAACATAAAAATGCACACATGCATTAATCTTCATTTCAAAACTCAACATCATCGTCCGGCATTCTTGTTTTGTACTAAGTGACGTCTTCATAAAGTGGACTGCTCGGCTCAAGAGCAACAAGACAGACTGAGATTACCACATTATTGATGAACACGGTCACATTTTATATTGCAAGACAACCACAGCTCACCTTGTAACTGTGTAGGCACGGCTTATGCAGTATCACTGTTTTGTAAACCCATTCCCAGATGGCATTTGTGCTCTTTACCCTCCACTCTGTCTGGCAGCACTCCTCTTTCCTTTTTCAGACCTTCAGTTTCTGAGTTTTGGATATGCTATATGAAGTGATCCAGTGAGGAACAAACAACACAAAGGAAAAATGTGCCAAAAAGTAAATAAACTTTTCACTGTATATTTGTCTTTGCTTTAGGACTATCTTAGTTACAGCACTCTAAAGCTGTTAGATAACATGATAACATGGTGCCATCTCCTGGAAATCTTGAGAACAGATGTTTGTTAGATCCTTCTGTATTTTCCTGCAGCTGGAAGTACAGTCATTACTTTTATTTTTTGAAGAAGTAGTACATATATATATATATATATTCTCATATTAATTAATATCTGTATTATTAAATTATTGATTTAAATGAAATTTGGAGACAACTGCTTGATTTACTGTGATAAAGGGTGAACATATGCAGTCTGAAGTTTGACACAGCCTGGCCTGGTTAGGAGAATAAGTGCTGTACTAAATAACTGCTTGGACCGGTGGCTAAGATTACCACAGATACAGACTCAAAATGAGCAAAGTGTAACAGAAGTACACATCATTTGGTCAAATAATTTCCTTTGTCTTATTTTGTAATCAACAAAGCACAATCTACATAGTATAGGGGCAGCAGCGTGACCTTTTTTAAAAACCCACTGGAGTCCAGTGACCAAATGGAACCAGTGATCTTATCATCAAAAGGGTTTTTTTTCTTTCATTGTCAGTTTTCTCCTTGTTTGCACTGTGAAGTTTAGATTGGTGGATGTATCACTGCAACACCTCAGCCTTGTCTCACGGGTTAAGCTTCCCCTTATCGGCATCAAATGACCAGAAAACTCATCTGCAATTATTCTCCCTTTGCACACTTAAAAATATTCATATAAAAGTCCCTCTGTATTTTAATACACAAAATCCCGTGTACAAATATGAGTTAACCAGAAGCTACCTAGTATTCCTCATGCAGAGTAAGGGAGATAGTAAAGGTTGAGGCAAGATCTGAGATGTTGCCCAGGATATCTCCACCACAGAGATATATGTTTGTTATATTATGTAATAAATTTATAATTAAAACATGAAAGAGTTTGTCTACTTGTTTTGACTTCAGTCTCTTCAGTGGTTTATTGAACGGAAATACGACACAAAGGGTAAACATGCCAACATATCTACAGGATTTTGGACAATACTACTTTTACTTGTTTTGCACATCACCACAGTGGATCTTAAACAGCAAAACTATATAATATAGCCCCCCATTTTTTAGACACTCAAAAGTAAGATGATTTCCTACGATTGAGAGTCAGTTTGATGCCAGATGAGGCTGTTCAGTATCAGGTCCAAGGATCATCAAAGCAATTGAAGGAACCCATAATTAGGCTGAAAAATGCAAAACAATAGCATAAGACAAAGAGCACAAACTTAAGGAAGGGTCGGTCAAATCACCAACTTAATGGTACATTCTTAAAGGGAATAAATGTCTATTCAGTGACACTAAAAAGGCCCAAAAGATCACAGAAGACAACTAAAGTGGATGATTTCAGAATTCTTTCCTTGGTGGGGAAACCCTTAACATCTAACTAAGGCATAAATATTCATGAGGAAGTAGGCGTGCCGTCCATTAATCAGGAGATTTATATTATAGTTTATGAATGGAACTATAATGAGGTGCAATCCACTCGGTACACTCAAGGAAAAGAAGGCTATATTAGACTTTGTCATGAAACATCTAAGTATCCTGCACAGCTGTGGGGAAAAAAATCTGGTTGAACAGATAAAACTTTATGTCTATAGCATAAAGTGTGCTATAGAGAGCTCATCCGAACCATCATCATGCTCTCAGGAGGTAGATCTGGCTTCTTGCATCTGCATGACCTTGGGCAAGATACTCAACCCCAAGCTGTTTTCTGGTGCATCCAATGGAGTATGAGAGCACTTAGAAAAAAGTTATTATGTGAATGAGGCATACTGTATAAAGCGCTTTGAGTGCTCCAGTTGTGTAGAGAAGCGCTATATAAGAATCAGTCCATCTACCGTCAGACAATGCTGTCTCATGGGCTTATATGGATACAGTGCAGCTGATGTGACCGGTGATAGAAGTGTACGGGGCTTTACTCTCTGCCCGGAATCAGCACGTCACATTCCAAATGGATAATGACCCAAAGCATACTGCAAAAGCAACCCAAGAGCTTCTCAGGGATATTTTTTAATTGCTAAGCCATAACTCTCGACACTCTTTTCATGAACTGAATACAGAATGGCCCACAAACAAGCAGAAACTGGAGGCATCTGCAGTGAAGGCCTAGTAGAGCAGCTCAAGTGAGCTGGGCTCTAGACTTAAGCACTGAGTGCAAAAGAAGTCTTACATCCAGTCTTTGTATTTAAAATGAGTGAAGTTTTCCAGACCTCTGAAAATGGGTGACCATGTATGAAAATGGCAATTATTCATAGACGCTAATGAAAAATTTCAATACACCTCTTGCATTAAAGTCTGCACATCTTGACTGATTTAAAATCCACTGTGGTGGCAAAAATACAAAATTGTGTAACTGCATAAATACATTTGTACCTAACTTTGAATATTAATTAATATCTCTGTTATTATCTACTCATATCACAGGCAGCTTGTTGTCATTTTCTTTTATAAAATGGTGATGAGTTGATTATTTAGTGCTCTGCTCCTATTGCTGCATTACAGCAAGATGGAAAGAGGCATGATAAAGATTTGGTTACATGGTACATGAAGTTCTCATTTATTGAAAAGATAAAAAACACAAAATTTAAATCATAAAATTAATGCAGTCGACAGATGCAGCTCCCCTGCTGGCACGGCACACAACACTACACACAAACACTGAGAACAGCAGCAAGTACAGTTCATAATCACATGTTCTCTTTGCTGTGCGAGTTACTTTTCAATGCTTCACATAGTAATTTTTTCACACTTAAGCAAACATTCATTTTCTACCTTAAGAATAGTAGATATTGTTCAAAGTATGAATGACAGCAGCTAAATGAGCTCTGTAAACAACAGAAATCCTATTCATTCCACCACATTTATTATTCCCGCTACCGTCACTAGACAGAATAGAGGGCAGTAATTTAAAACATCTATAGATTACCGTGCGCCATCCTCCAATCAATTAAAAAGCAGACCACCAAAATTACAATTAGCATTCCTGCTGATGGTGTCGGTCACGGAGATTAAGATGTCTTGACACCGGACAGAAGCAGCAGAAATGATCCTTCAGGTGTCATCAGAAATGTTTTAAACTAACTCTGGACTCTCTGCCTTCAATCCGTCCTCTTCTGCCTCTGAATTATCTTTCTTCTCGAGGTCAAAATTCTGTAAGAAAGCAGTGAATGGAGGATATCAGCACTATCACCAACAGTTATTAGTAAATTTTCTCATAACTACACTTTTTTTTGCCAAAAACAAATGCTGTTTGTACATTTTGTACATTTCTTTATATCATAAATTTGTAGTGATTTTGTTACAGCTTAAAAATCGGAACCACTTTAAATGACACAAGTGTAAAGAGGCAGTTGTAGTCTGCAGATGTTAACTAGGTTTCACTTATTTTGAATGCACTAATCTGACAAATGATATTGATTTTTTTATGCTTTTAAATGTATTAAGAATTCTGATCTTTCAGTTTTGCCCATTGAAACTCGATTTCTTAACACTATTAGCAACGGGGGTTAAAGTGGGCTGGAATGATCCGGAACGGTGTTCCGGCACCTTCATTAAATGCGTAATTAAATCTGATAGGAAGAATAATAGCCACATAATACTGTTGAGAGATTTAATTTTTCATGTGCTGCAGCCTGGAGGTGCTTCCAGCTGACAGCATGTAGTAATAAGAAAATAATGACATCCCACAGTCTCACTTACACCCTAAACACACACCTCTTCACTTTGTATCCCTGTGGTGCGTTCACGGTGCATATGTAAATAAAGTTGTGGTTCTGAAATTTGTAGGAAGTGATTTCAAATGCTGCTTTCACACAGCTCAACAAACATCACCAAATTCAAACAGCTTTTCTGCAGATTGTACCATAGTGTGTTTTGTTACCTAAATCTACAGTTGCTGTATTTCCCAGGGAGAGATAAAGACTGGATGGGAGAGGAAGATGAATCATTTTCAAAGGTAAGAACTGCTCAGCAAGCAACATTTTATAAAGCTGAAATTTAAAACTTACTTGTAAAGTCCTAATTCATTTCAGAAACAGGGATTGGATATAAAGATGATGTGTTACTGAAGTTATGTATTTTTCATAATGCGAAATGTCTTGCTAAACAAATTAAAGTACAATATTTTTTGTTATTCAAAGTTTGCATGAAAACAGGTTAGTTTGCAATACTGTGGTAAAGTAGACAGTGATGCACTAAGTTGAATGGGTTGCAGTGCAGACTGTGGTGTAAATGTAAGCTCTTGATGCTACATTAGACATTAGATTAAATTCACTCACTAAATTCAAACTTTCCTACTAATTTTATATAGTCTATGAGTTGGAAATCAGATATAACTTAAGCAACATCTGCTTATATCTTGTTGAATTCAGTCAGCTAAATCCAAGATCAGTGAGTCTCAGCAGCAATACAAACTGTGACTAGTTTCTAAGTAACTTTTCCCCATGCTGCACACCTAATCTTAGGATTCCACCTCTTTTCACCTCTCCATCTTTGATATCCAGTATATATATATAGTTCGTCACTAGTCCTAACTCTATGATTGTTGATTTTGAGTAGAGAGGATCTCCAGTAATCATATTAAAACAACAAAGGACAATAATGAACTCATTATATTTCCTACTTTAAGTACCGCACAATCAAATATTTAATTCTTTGAAGTTAAAATTCTACAGTTGCTTAAGGACAAGCACATTAGTAATCAGAGAAGCTAGTGTACCTCTAATTCTTGCATCACTTCATCCATGAAGTCACTGGGGTTTTGCTTGTACTCCACTGCTCTTTTGATCATGTCTCTGAACATCTGACGAAAGAGGTACAGTCAGAGCTATCAGACGGCAGTAGAAGTTCAGGTGGTGTGAACATGTTATAATGACTACACTGACTGAAGTTGATAATTGGCTTATAAAATGAACACTTTCACTCCAGTCATATTATGTAAAACAGCAGGAGAAGAAAGAAACCTGCTCAGACCTTAACTACATTGGTTCCATCAGCTGCTGACACAAAGTAAAACGGGAGTCCTTGCTTCTTCCCGAAATTGAAGCTTCTTTGAGTGACCTTCATGTCGGCTGCAGATGTGGAAAAACAATCACAATCACAAAGTCCAGTTTGCTGGACAAAACAGTTAAAAAAAAATACTGCAACCTAAAGAAATCATGTCACACATCGAACTCTAACATTACCATTGCATACAGTCATTACAAGAACTCCACACCAACTTTAATGTGCAGACTCACCATCAATTTTGTTGGCAACAACACAGCAGGGTATCTCTGGTCTGTACTCTCTTAGTTCCTTATACCAGTTGACTAAATTCTTATATGTGAGCTTCCTTTGAACATCAAAAACCTTAAAAAAAGAAAAAAAAAGATGAAAGATTTAGCAAAAGTTCACCTTGGTTGCTGACAACATAGTTACATTTTTCAGACTATTTTTAATCCTCACTTCTTCATGCACACTTGAATGTGTTCTTACCATAATGCATGCATGTGCTTTGTGGTAGTATGAAGGATGCATGTTTTGAAACCTCTCCTGACCAGCAGTGTCCCAGAAATCTTTGGATCAAAATAATAAAAAAAGAATTTGGTAATTTAAGATTTGCAGATTATTATTTTAAACTGGTTTCAAATATTTTATGTTGTCACAGCAAGTGCATGGTACTTACCAACTGCTATGGTCTTGTCTCCTACAGTGGCTGCGTGTTTGTAGAGAGTCAAGGCATAGGTTGACAACTGCTGGGGACGACTGCACGAGGAGTTAAGGATCTTAACAATATGCAACTTGTTTCTTCAAAGCATCTTAAGGCTAAGAGAATCTTTTTCCAAGTCTTTGTTCCTAGCCCACCTGCTTGAATTTAAAATTAAGTACTCAATTTATAAATTGCTTCT